AAAAATGTTTTCATTTCTAGTGCTAAATAAGTTTAATCAACGCATGTATTTTTAGACATAAATAGTAACATTTACTTCCATTTGAATCTTGGAAACATTGCGTTTCTTTAGCTAAAGCTAAGATAATGGTAAATCAACACAGTTAATTAAACCTACTTTTAAAGTGCATCTTTTATTATGACAATAGGATTCACATTATTAATGAGATTTATAAGAATTATTGTCAGCAGATTAACACAGTTCAACATAAGTTGAAGTATTGATATTCAATTTCCAATTTCTAACTAGTTTTTACAATCTAAATCTGAAGATGGCGCTTTTCATTCAAAGTTTGGACATTCTTTTTCTAAACAGTAATTATTATATAATCAAATAAGGACAAAATTGTTTAGTTTTACCTTTATAACTTTTAAAAGCATTTCATAATTTAAAATATCTTGGTATCCATTAAAAAAGTAGAATTTTTGCCATCTGAATGTTTCTAAATATTTATCACAAATACTATCACTAGTAAACATTTTGATAAAATATTATTATATTCGTTATGGTTATCTCAATTACAATATCCTTCTGAGATAGTTGATCTACAAACTTATTCATCAAAATATAAAGAACATTTGTCCTTTTTCTTTTCGCATCCTTTAGGATTGAAATTATCTATTACAGAACAATTAGCATTCCAACATTCTTAATGATTATTAAACATATTGGAGATTGATGATATGTGAATCTTAAATTCTAATCCTTTATCACATTTTCTTCATTAAGGATTATAGATGCAATTAATCATCCATTATTAACATTCAAATTATTTCTATATAAATCTTATGAAACATCTGAACATTCTTTTATTTTACATAATATTCCTGATCAAAAGCATTCCTCTCTATTTACTAAATTTAAATTAAATATCACTGCCATTAAATAGCCATTTTATGCATCCAATTCCATCATTTCCTATTATACATTTTTATTAAGCTAATTTTAAATTAATAAAACATTCATCATTTGTTTAAAGATCTAATGGTTTAACATTTGAACATTCTTCATCTTTACATTTGTTTTAAATGATATTCCATCTACTTATATAGTAGAAAAACATTGTTCCTTTTAATATAATTGACATTATTAAAACTTTTAATACAACCTGCCAAGTCATATAAAGTAGCAGATTAAGAGAAAAAATTATTATGCTTTCTGACATCAAATCTTCACATTTTTATTTAGAATTAAAGGTAAATGAAACAGTATTACATTATTTTATATACATTCAGGTTATGATAAACTATGATTTCCTCTTTATTCTATAGTACAATATATTACATTAAATACATTATTACAAGTATAATCTACACATCCAAATTATTACATATTAAATTCACAATTTAGACTGACAACTTTACAAGACTAACTATTAAAATAATGTGATAGTTTTGATTAATTAGGATCTATTTAAATACATTAATTTTTAAGCAAATATATTTAATTAATTTATATCAGCACCAACATATTAATAGATATCTTCATATTTGAATTATATTGCCATACAACCATCTTATAATTTCCAAATAATTTAAAATCAAAATGTGCATGAGAACATTATTTTAATTCACATTTTTATTAATCCTAATAGATCTTTAATAATCAGAATAAATAGTAAGTTTATTCTTACAATCTCTATTTTCAGATGCAACAAAATCCAATATTTGATCATAATCTTAACACTAAATATAATTGTTGATTGCAGTATAACATGTCTTATTCTAACATTTTTCTTATTTATTTCCTAGATTATCATCAGTTATTTATCCTGCTTTAATTTTAGCATCATTACAAGTAGCTCTAATGAAACAATTAATTCCATCTGTTGTATCATGCATTCACTTAGTTATGATCTACATTCATAATCAGTCTTAAAGACAAAGTTATCATATATTTTCTCCAAACACTTCCCTTTTCCTTTTACCAAAAACATATCTATTTATTATTTAGTATTGAATAACATTAACTTTCTTGTATGAAATCATTGCATATTCCATCTGATTAATACAACTCTTACCATTATATTTATAGTATAACTTTACAGACCTTAATTGCATTATTTATGATCTGATAAATACATAATTAAATCTTCACATCTTTATACATCCTAACATCCCAATTAATCTAATTATTTCCATATACAAAACGCTCCTTTTTTACTCTTATTATTATACTCAATTTAACGGTCTATACAATAACCTCTTATTTCAATACATATATGCATGAGAATGAAAAACTTTAACAATCGTCTCCATTATAAATAGAACAACCTTAAAAATTCACAAATTTACCTTATTCTTCACATAATTCTTCCATTATTTTAAACTATTATGATATTTAATACTTAAATCCTGATTTAAAAATATTATTATAATTGTTTCAAATATAAATACTCGACTTTTAACATATGTCTTTATTTTTTATATGATCACAAATACTTATTTTTGAAGGTACAACACACATAATTGATTAAAGTAGCAACAAAAACATTGTCAATCTATTGAATTTCTATTAAATCATTAATTAATATAATATCGAATTTGAAAATTAAATGTTATAAAGCTAATATATTTATAGTTGTTCATAATTTGAAATTTGCAAAAAAAAACAAAGTCAATAAGTTTAGCTTAATTAAGTAATCAATGTTATGAATAAACCCTCTTTCATAAATATTTATATATCTTTTTCATATATCACAGATTTACATTTCTAAAAAGCAACATAAACTTTAAAAATTGTTTATAATACATTTATTCTTTGTCTCTTTTTCATGAACTATTTACAAACTATTTGAAGATCTTATGCAATTTAGAATTTGAGTACATAAGTAATTAACTAAATGTTTTCAATGTAAATGACACATATTTATATAATTAAATAATATATAAAATAGACCAAATAGTATTGCAATTAAAAAGGAGTGAAAATTCATAGGTTCTTGATTAACTTTCGATATTCATTTCCAATTATTCTTGTTTTGCTATTTTATCATAAGAATTATATTTAATCTATAAATATGATGATAGAATGGTGAAAAATTAAATATAATATGAATGACTTAGTTAGCTAATTTTATCATTATCCAATAGATTTATAAATTAAATGTCAAGAACGGATTGATAATAACCTTCCTTAAAAAGGATTTCCATTAATCAGTATGATTTCTAGTCTATCTATCAAACCATAAAATACTAATTTCTTAAGAGGTCATCAAAGTTTGAGTTAAGCGAAATTAGCCAATCAATCCCCTTGAAATCCAA